GAAATTTAAGGAGAAAACATGAAGAAAGAGAAAATCATAGGATCCAAATAGTAAGAACAAGAAACTGGCAAAGACAAGACATTCAATCTGAAGAAGAAATGTTTCCATAATTGTTTTAAAAAATCGAAAGACAGAAAAACGACAATCTTTAATGAAGTTTCAATTTAAACAATTATTCAGAAAAAATAAAAAACCTGAGAAACAGTCTGCAAAACTCTGTCCCCGTCGGGAGTAGGAACAGCCAAGCAGTCCCTCGGAGTTTCGAATGTGGACAATGAGTACTGCTTGGATACAACGCCGACATCGAAGTAGATCAGACCGGAGCTCGGGATATCGACCCGGATTTCGATAACCCGAAACCACAGAAACAAATCCTGCGCCGATATCCCCGACAGACCGTCGATCCGGCCGAACTGTATCGTCCCCGACACGTTGGCGTCGTAGTGGAGCTCGTTCTCGAACTTGGCGTTGCAGGCCCGGTCCAGCCGGACCTCGAATTTCCCTGAATTGTCGAGGCTGAAGTTCGTCACGCCCTTTGGGAGCAGGCCCATCGGCAGCCCGTGGAGTCTGAGGATTTCGTATATGGAGGAATCCTGAGACACGATGGGACCCACCTCCGCCGCCGCCGCCGCCGCCGCCGCCGAGATGATGAAGACGGCGGAAAGCGGGAGGAGGAAATGGTGTAAAGATGGCATTTTTATTTATTTTATGTTTCCTTTTGTCTTTTCACGATTGCGGCATGGGAACTGGAAAATGGTGTGGGTTTAGGGTTTAGGGGTGTGGGGAAGAGAAAAGGGAATGTGAGAAGGGTTGGATAGCGAGGGAGGAGAAGGTGAGGTAGTGAAGGGCAGCAAAGAGCGCAGAGAGGATTTTTTAGCTTTTAGGGAGGAGGAAAAGGAATGACCAATTATTGGTGAGGAAGATGGGCCCCACCCTTCCGGCTCTTTTGTATAGGTCACCTGCACTTTGACATATGCACAATATTAATAAAATATTATTAATTTGATATCTCATATTTTAAAATTTATAATTAGATAAAGTGAACAATATCAATATTATTAATTGAGTATCTTACATAAATCACTAAATTTATGATATCAATTATAATAACTAATATCATTGTTTTTCAACTCGGCGGGTCGACTAGGAATCAGGCCGACCCGGAGTTAAAACCGGTCCGAGTGAGCTATGTAGACCGGGTAATAATGGCCCCGGTCAAAACCCGTCCAACCCGGCTTTGACTAGGTCGACACGGGGTCAATGGCCTGGCCGGGTCAACCCAGTCGACATGGTCCCTATATAAATTTCTAGATTTTAAATATTTTTTATATAAAAAAAATAAAAACTATGTAAATGTATTAATATAGTAAATATTTATTGTGAGGTACAACTTTTTTTACACTTCGATGTACAAATTTTATATATAAAATATTTGTTTGTTTTTTTTTTAATTTTTATGTATATTTATAAGTCAAAAATACTATACATATAATTTTAAAAATTTTAAAATTAATTATCTGGTTTTGCAATTGATCCGGTGACCCAGCAGTTAAACCGATCACCCAAAAGTTGAACCGGTGACTCAGTGACCCGAAAGTTTATTATTATTATTATTATTATTATTATTATTATTATTATTATTATTATTATTATTATTATTATTATTATTATTATTATTATTATTATTATTATTTATGTGCTGCAATCATGTGCAACTGAAAAACAGGCTAAATTATATATCTCATCATGACATTTTCGACATTTGCAATTTTGTCATGACTTTAGGTTCTTGACAAAATGGTACCTGGCCTTTTTATTTTTACAGAACAAAGCATGAGGTTAAATTCCGACTAGCAGAAAACACTATGATCGGTCACTTTTCCATGTTGCGTCCACGTGAATAAAAGGTTTTTTGAAAATGAAAATTAAAATATTGAACTTCACAACACAACTTTATTAAAATTTTTGCAATTTTCTTACGATTTTTTTCCTTACAGAACGATACATGAAATTTCATAAAAAATAAAATACATAATTTCCAATTTAACCAAAAAAATCCTTCACATTGGATCATGTTGACAAAAATACAAACAAAAATCTAAACAACCCTAAATAAAAATAAAAAAGAAAAAAATAAATAGTACACTGAAAAATTTTCAGTGTGAAAGAATAACATGACCCCGTTTTGGGAAAAAAAAAAAGAAAGCATGACCCAAGAAATAAATAAATCAAAATTGGCCATCTTTAAAAAAAAATTGCTCTTATTGGAAATAAATTAATGAGCCAAAACATGAGTGAGTGAATGGGAGCTTCTTTCCGAGTATTTTGGGTTTTCGAATAAATTAATGAATGATTATTTTGGGTTTCTGAATATTGAACGTCTTTATACTCTCTCTAATGGGAGCTTTCACTCTCTGATGGGAGATTAACCCTAGGGTTTCTCTATCAATTAATAACCATTTACTGGGCATTCTATCTATACTGCTTGGTAATCCCAAATGGATGCGACAAAAGCAAACATAGGGCAATAAATGGCGAAGTTCTCATTATCGGAAAAGGAATGTCTGATCACGGACATTGAAGACCAAGATGTCCGGAGGTGGGCTTGAAGGCATGTAGAATAGTCAAGGGAGTCAAGAACGTGAATATGGTAAGAGCAAGAGGGCAAGACGGTAGGATACTGTGGATTCTAGCCACCAAAAATCTTAAAGAACCGCTACCTAGATGGACCCAAATAAGGCTTGGAGATACAATGATCATTCTGACTTTGAAATACGAAAAGCTACTGCGGTAGAATAGGTCATCTTGATAGAAGTTGTTCAACCCGGATGGCAGATATTGAACTCAAAGGTGTTAATGAAGGCCAATATGGAGATTGGATTAAAGCAGTAGATGGAGGAATATGGCTTGATGTAGTTAGCCCAAACACAGAGTCAGGATCGAAGGACACACCTCATACCAATGATCAATGAAATGACCAACAAAATGACAAGTCAAGAGATCCCCTCAGAATTCACAAGCCAAACAACAAATCAATCAAGAGGATCTAGCAACATAATCACAAAACAAACTCTAGTGCTAGCTATGGTGGACTTCTCTACTTCAGAAGAACTAGCAGAGAAGTACAGGGGCAAGACACCAGTTGTATCAGAAGGAAATCAAGTTCTTATGCAAATTGCAGAGGAGAATTCTGAAGCAAAGATTAGCATCATTTCAAACCTGCAACTGCTGGTCCACAAACCA